GTAGTGACTCTGATTGTGATGTGGACACCAATAATGTCGAAAATATCGCCCCGACTGGTTAGTTAATTAACCCTCTAACTATTGTATTTTACATGTTATATTCATGTGTTACTTGAATGTGATAGAGTGTTAGTATGTGTGGGTCAAACTAATACTTCATTCTGAAATGCGAGTCCGTACTATTAGGGGTGTAAATGGGTCAGGCTGGCCCGGCCCAGCTTACAGCTCGGCCTACATAAAGCCTTGCTTGGCTCTGCCTTTCAGAAAAGTAGAGTAGGCTTAGGCTTTTAAGGAAATCTTTTTAACAAATAGTCCGTAGGCCAATTTTGTCAAGCCTAGCCCGAAGCCTTGTAGGCTGGCCTATTTAATTTATTAAAAATAAAATAATAAAATAATATTTATTTTATGTGGCATGGAAAAGTACCAATACCAGTACCTATGTAATTTCTCTTGTAGACTTTATTTTAGCACCTAATAATTGTATTTTTCTTATTTTCCTCATTTCTTTGACTCTATTCCTCTATGATATACATTCTAGAGCTGGGGTATTATGTTGACTCTTTCTTGTTTGTTATTTTTTTCTTATGAGAAGTACTAGTGCATGCATGAATGAAATTTTTTTGCTCTATACAATTATTTTCTTTGCTTAGTATCTACAGTGGTAGGCCTACAAGGCCTGTAGGCCATGTCAGGCTTTCTTATTTTTAAAAATAGGTCGGGCTTGGCCTACAAATGAAGCCTTTAATAGGCCAGTAGGCCAGATAGGCTGAATTTTTTTTGACGTAGGCTTGGGCCAGGAAGGCCAAAGCCCAGCCCAGCCCAGCCCATTTACACCCCTACGCACTATACTTATATTAATTGGGAACACCCAGATCAAGAACTGTTGTTGATGGGGGAATAATGGTTCTTGGCAAATGAGGGATGAATTATATATTAATCAAGAATTTGAAAGAAAGGAATCGGTACAGAAGTCAATCAAATGTTATTGTATGAAGAATTATCACACTGCTGTAGTGGAGGAAAGCAAAAAAAAAATAAGCTTCTCGTGAAATGTGATAATCATGCTTAAGGATATCCTTGGAGGGTGCGAACCATGTTACCGAGATGGCGAGATCGGTGGATTGTTACTAGATGGGGAGGCAAACACACTTGTGTGAACCCTTATCTTTTGCAATATCACAGACAACTCGATTCTGACTTTCATTTGTTCATGTATTCTAGGTATGACTACGAAAAATATGTGTTTATCTTAGAAAAATGAAGATGGTATAATGTACTTGTACTTAACGGTTATATTCCACCATTTTTTTTATCAGGCATGGTTCAGGTGGATCCGTCAATTAACATTAGCCTAGGAATAGCTCATCCAGCAAATAGAAAAATCAATAGAGGCAAAGTGAGAAAGAGGGTTGGGTTTGGTAAAGACTAAAGAGAGAGAAAAATAGATTCAAAGAAGAATCAGAATCAGAGAAACGAAACGGGGATTGAAGGGAACCAACAACCCAACATGATAGAAGGTCTGGTGGTTGACAGCGAAGGTGACTCCGATGAACGGTGGCGGAACGGTGTCCTCCGATTTGGTCGTGCCTCTGACCCATTCTGTCTCCAGCTCGACGAGATATACCTTTTTCATTCTCATTTATAAAAAATTTGTTTTATTATTTGCAGAAGTTCAAAACGATGATTCACAAATTGAGGGTTTAAAAAAATTATATTCTCCCCAGTACCACCTTTGGGAGGGGTTTAAAGTCTTAATCATGGACCCGCCCCGAATCGGATTATTTGCGAAGCAATGAACTGATTGGAATATTTTCAAAAAAGAAATTATATTAGTGCCATATGGGGGGCGGGGCAGCACTTATCTAAATAAAAAAAATATTTATCGAGTGTCGTGGGGGGATATATGCGGGGGTTATGAGAGGGAAAAAAATTAGATTAGTGTCGTATGGTGGGTAGGGCGGCACTTATTGAAATTAAAAAAAATTATTTATTGAGTGTCGTGGGGGGATAAAGGGCAGCACTGGGTTAGGAGAGGAAAAAAAATTACATGAGTGTCACAGGAATCTGTAGGCGTCATTTAGATACGCTGCGTCCTCACATGACACTTAAAAGACCTCAAATAGTAATATCTCTTATTCAAATACCAATATTTGTACATTTAAAGGGACAATGATCAAAGTGTCACGCTTGGACAAAAAAATTACCAGACTGCCACGCCAACAGTAAATTTTTCCAAAATGCCACGCGACATAATTCGCTACACAGTGTAGCGAAATATGCCACGTCAGAATGCACAGAACCAAAAATGCCACATATCAAATTTTGAGAAATTCGCTACATAGGGTAGCGAATTTCTCAAAATTTGATATGTGGCATTTTTGGTTCTGACGTGGCATATTTCACTACACTGTGTAGCGAATTACTTGCATGCATAATTCGTTATACTGTGTAGCGAATTATGCCGTATGGCATTTTGACAAAATTTACTGTTAGCGTAGCAATCTGGTAATTTTTTTGTCCTGTCACTGTAGAAAAATTCCAAACTGATCAAAAGAGCTAGTTGATAAATTCCAAACCGGTAAAATAGCTAGTTGATTAGTCATCAACTCCCCTCTAGAGCAAACAAATTCTTAACCTAACCTTATCTGCAGGTCAACTAAGCAACATTTTGTTTAATAGCTAAGGTTACCCTTAACCTCACGTAGGTTGGCTAGGTTTGTCAGTTACTACTAAAGTTGTTAGTTATTTCTTTATGTTTTGTCCTTTTGAGTGAGTAAGCTACAAGCCTACATGCACCCTCATTCCTTTCTTATTATTATAATACACGTTTTTAGTTTCAAAACATGGCCAGTAGTTTTCACTTTTCACTGTTAGTTTAAAACAGTAAAAATCTGCAAATTCTGATACCTTATACTGTGCATTGTTGACCTCATAACTGACCTGCATAGTTTTAAATTCATTATTGGGAGTCGTACCCATTAAAGTATTGCAGGAGAGATTTTAAATATTTGTTAAGTTACTATTTTTTATGATAAATATTTCTTAGTTAATAATATGGATTTTTCATTTCTGTTGTAACTGCTGATAAGAAAACTTGCAGCAAATATATTTACATAAGATACGGAGTTGAATTCTGAAATTAAAAAAAAGAAAAAAAATTTCAAGATCCAGAATCAGATCCTGATGAAAGTAAGTGTTGCTGCAAATTTTCTAATATGCAACAACAATAGAACTATTAGCTATTAAAGCCTAATAATATTTAACAACTCACTCTTAGTATTATAACTATTAAAAAACATAAGTGTAAAAACCCCCCCCAAAAAAAAAACATAAGTGTAATTTGTTTGTTGGACAATTTTGTTTAGGTCACTGACACAGTGTCAGATCGATGTCAACAAACACAGACATGGTCACATGCAATTGCACAAAGCACAAGGATTTTCTCTGGGTACGCGTGTGGGGTAAAAAAAGCTAAACCCATCACGAGCAATAGGGTAAAGGAGCATTGAAATTGGAGTACCCCAAGAAAGAAGCAACCACCTTTGGCTCTTTTCTCATGCATTGGAAAACACACTTGCTCAGCGACAAACTAGGCTGAAGCAAAGCTAGAACGAACCCCTCCTTGATAAAAGGGAATACATTTTCAATCTTAATTTTATTATCATTAAACATGTTTAACTTAGTTAATCACATTTATCAGACGGATCCAATGCAAGCATAAAAACTCTTACCTTCATTATATACGATTTATTTTATTTGCATTTAATAATTATAATTTAATAGAGATAAAAATTTACACGAACAATTAAATACAAATAAATTTTTTGTGATTCCCGGATAAACAAACTGTCAAAAGAGCATGATTTTGAATTTGGAGATGACTTTTGTGGTCAAAATTAAAAAATCGTCACACTTATTGATGTTAGAAAAATTAAACCGACTTGGCCGATTGGACCAATTCAGACAATTAAATGGCTATGCATATAACTCAATCCAGAACCAATCAATATACTAAGAAAAAGATAGTGACATGTTACTCATTAAGATTCAATAATCCGATACCTCCAATTACAAGTTCGAATTTAATAACATTAATTTTAATACGAGAATAAATTAATTTATTCCTTTACTTTTTAGAATAAATATCATTTTCGGTCATCAGCAAATTTTACGATACGTCCATAGCAAATAAAAAGGCTATTCACAGTCCTTGATAAATTTAAAGTGGACCCATTTTAGTCCTTTTGAAGGACTAATGTAAGTTTTTTTGAATTTGTGAGGGATCACGATTTCAACTAAATGAGTCTATTTTGAATTTTTTAAGGACCACGAAGAGCTTTTTTATTTGCTAAGGACTAAAGCGGGTATCATAAAATTTGTTAAGGACAAAAAAAATATTTACTCTATTTTTTATTTTTAATGCAATATGATTTTATATGCCTCTAATAGGCCGTTTGGTACCAGATTTATTTTGGAATTCCTGCAAAACTGAAGGTGATAATTTTATTTATTCATATTTAGTATGAGATTTTTAAAATTTTTTCATGAATCAGAATTTCCCGAGATTTTATTTTCTTTGTAATTTTTTTTAAAAATACTATCCCAGAGATGATATTTTAAGATTTCTATGACAAATTTTTTTTTAATACAACCAAACATAATATCAAAAAATTAATTTAATATTTTTAAAAATTGTGATTTGCAGATAATTTTTTTTTTCTCTTTCTTAATACCAAATGCCCTGAGTCTCTGTCTTTTTGCCCTACTCATATTTCTCATACCTTACCTCTTTGTCCCTCTGCCTAGCACAGTGAAACTTCGTGATCTGGGTTACTTTCTTTTTACCAACAGAGGTTATTTTGCTTTAGATCTCCATGCTCTATCACCCCTACTTTACTCTCTCCTACTTTCTTTCTTTCTACCTCACACACGGTCACACTCTTCTCTTTTTAAATTGGTTGCACTCACTCACCAACTCTTAAGAGTCACAGCAAACAAAAGAAACAACAAAGGAAGCCCATTTTTTCAAACCATTCTTTGCAACTCTTGGTCAATCCTCACCCACATTCTATATCACTTAAAACACTTCTTTAGCTGCAATGGAAGTGAGTCTTTTTGTATTGTTATTAAATTTCATCTTCTTGCTATGCTTGGTTTATATATATATGTGAAAACTAAATGGTATAGTGTTTTGATTCTTGGGGTGTGATCATATAGGAATGCTACTATAAGAGGAACCATGTGCCAGCATTTGGGAGCTGGAATTGGAATGATGATCTTCCATTCACACAGTGCTTTGAATCTGCAAGACAAGCTGGTTTGCTACGTTACAGTTACTCTGAAAGTGAAGAACGAGATCTTTATGTTACTGGTGACTTGTATGAGAATGATGTTGTTACTCCTGCCATGATTGTTGTTCCTCGTAGAAGGGTATGTATGCAACAAAAACTCTTAGTCTTGTCTGTTTAGTGATGCATATAGAGTTGAATTTGAATACTTGGGATACTGATACTTAGTTTTTGGAACTGGGAATGAACCATGTTCATGTTTAGATGTATTTTTAAGCATATTTTTATTTATTTATTTCAGTGGCATTTTTGTAATTTTTTGTTTTAATTGTATTTTAAAGTTAATTAATACCATGTAAAAGGGTGTTTAGTAGTTCTTGATCATTGTTTATTTTGATAATCATAATTGGGAGAAGAAGCAATTTCTCTTTTCAAATTCAATTTATAGCTCAACTATTGTGCATTTGGCATTGTTTATGCTTAGTTTGCTTTTTTATTAGCTAAAAGAGAAAAGAATATACTCGGACTAGAAGAGGAGGTTCTTTAGTTTTGTTCAGTTTTGATGAGTCTTGTTTTACTATCTTCTTGTTTTGCATGTGCTTGGAGTTCAATTCAAGATAAAGGGTGTTCTGTTTTCCATTTTAATTTTGTCAAACCAAGTAGAGCCTCAAAAGAACTTGAAAATAAAATGGAGAGAAAATGAAGTTCCATGCATCATAGTCCTAGTTAAAGGGTTATTATTAGACCGTGAGTGTTGAAAAAATAAAGCAACTTTGCCTTTATCACTGCTTTCTCTATGGTCGGTCATACTTTATAGTGGGGCTTGTATTAAATGACATGCATGATTCACCCCACAAGCATTTGTTTGTGATGATGTTTAGCTCATAATAATGATTTAAATTAATTATTTTTTAATAATAAACTGCCATTGTTAAGCACTTTGTGCAATGGGGCAACTTTTGACTTTATTGTGCATATGTCATTTGGTCACTAAAAACACAGACAATGGGATCTTTAGGTATCATACCAAAGTATTAAAGTAATCGAAAAATTGAAATCCCATTATAATGCATATACTCTTCCACTTAGACATATAACTTCAAAGGTCACTTTTTATAAAGCACTGATAGAATTCTTAATTGGTTATTGACATTGTAGGAAAAGGTGCATGGCCAGCATGAAAAAGAAGCAAAAAAGCATAATTGGGTCACAAAGGAGCCACTAAGCCCAATTTCAGTGCCAAGACCAACACCAAAACCTGTGGATGAGGACTTGTACAAGATCTCACCTGAACTTCTTTATGCCAGAACTAGGAAGGTAGAGCCCCCACATTTATTTTCTATTTGCATCTTTTTATTTTATTTTTTTGGAAAACTCTATTTGCATCTTTAGATAAAGGTTTTGATAAAATTCGTTTTCTAATTTGAGTTTTCTTTTCTTTTCTTTTTTGGTTATTTTACTCAATGCAGAAGAAGGGGTTATGTTTCTTTCCAAGCTGTTTGCTACCAACTTGCATTGCCTGAGACATGGAAATTTGAGAAGCTAATGTACATATAAGTGAAATAGAGAAAGATACTAATTGAAAAGCAATATATTTCTGGACCAAGAAGAATATTATTATAGTCATATGATTATTATGGGAAGGTTGTTGTTGTTTATTCTGTCACTTTACCTTTTAGTTATATTTTGGGTGCTTCAAATTTTAGTCTTTGATGTACTATGGGGTGAATCATTTCAAGGATTTTATGTAACCAGAAGTTAAAGAAATTATGTTCCTGTCAGGTAATTCATACGAATATTCTTCCAACTAAAGCTCTTTATGTTCTTTGTCCTGACCCAAGGGAAATGCAATAATCCTTATTTGAGAAAATTTTAATCATTCAAATACTAATAATTTTAATCGTAGATTTATACTTAAATCATTGAGATCTTTTAATAATTCTATGTCATATAAGAAAATTATTTCCCCACTTATTAGTATTATAATTGGCCCCGGGTTATACTGATGAAATATTATTTAGTATACAATGTTTGTATTAATGTGTACCCTAGACCTCTCGCCCCTTTCAATATGCTTTGGTTTATGCCATGTTTACAAACAAGGCTCACTATCATTTTACACGCTCTAAGTTACATTGTGTTGGGAAAACTCGGTTCCCTCAAGCTCGGCTAAGCAGCCTTTGTGCGGAAGTCAATCAACAAGATCCTGATCTCGGATCTCGGCAATACCTCAGCCTGAACTTCACCAGGTCAGGCAGCGCAGCGGAAAATCAAAAACGAAAAATTGGAGAGAGAAGAAGAACACAACCAGATTTAACATGGGAAAACCTTCTTGAATGAAGAAGTAAAAACCCACGGGACCTAGTCCAGATCAAAAATCCACTATGAAAATAATGGTTACAAATAATCAAATACACCAATGTGGTGGTTAACTCAACCTCTCCAACAATGGTGATAATCAAACTACCCTAGAGATGTTTCACTCAAACTCTCTCTAGAGATCTCTCAAATGCAAAGCATAAAGCTTTGCTCAAACAATCAAATAATTCTCTCAAATTTGTTCTCTCAAATCTGACCTTTCAAATCTAACCTTGTCTCCACCCACAACAATGAGTATATATAGAGGAGGTGGAAATTAGGGTTAGGGTTTTTAGGAAACCCTTCAAATGGGCTTGGACTTAGCATTGAAGGAGGAAGCCCAACAAATCTCCCCCTCCGACTTCAATGCGTCGGCCTCAGCATCAATCCGGCTCCTTCACAGCAGTCTTCAAATTTTCTTGCTGGAACCGGCTTTGTCATCATTTCGGACCAATTTTGGTCAGTGTGCACCTTGACGAGTTCGAGCTCACCACCTTCCACCACATCCCGGATCCAGTGATACCTCACATCAATATGCTTAGTGCGGGAGTGATAGGTTGAATTCTTCGCAAGATGGATTGCGCTTTGATTGTCACAACCCAGCTCGTACTTGTCTTGATCATGGCCGAGTTCCATGAGGAACTTCTTCATCCACAGCATCTCTTTGCTTGCCTCAGTAGCGGCAATGTACTCAGCCTCAGTTGTAGATAGTGCAACACATTTCTGAAGTCTTGATTGCCAAGAGACAGCTCCTCCGGCAAATCTCATCAAATATCCTGTAGTCGACTTCCTCGAGTCGGCGTCTCCCCCTAAATCAGAATCCGAGTAGCCTTGCAACTCGGCTTTGCCTTCTCCAAATCGGAGACATAAGTCGGTCGTACCTCGAAGGTACTTGAAGATCCACTTCACTACTTCCCAGTGCTCTTTGCCGGGGTTTGACAAATACCGGCTTACCATTCCAACAGCATACGCCAAGTCGGGTCTAGTGCAAACCATTGCATACATCAAGCTTCCGACGGCGGATTGGTAAGGGACCTTCATCATCTCATCTTTGTCATCATCAGATCTCGGACATTGCTTTTGGTTCAACTTTATGTGTCCGGCTAGGGGGGTGCTCACTGTTTTGGCTTTGTCCATGCTGAATCTCTTCAGAATCTTCTCAATATATTTCTCTTGACTCAGCCACAGTAGCTTCTTCTGTCTATCTCGGATAATCTTTATTCCGAGAATCTGCTTTGCAGGGCCGAGGTCCTTCATTGCGAAGGACGAGCTTAATGCCTTTTTCAGGGCGGCTATCCTCGATTTATCTTTCCCTACAATAAGCATGTCGTCAACATATAACAACAAAATCAGAAAATCTCCGGCCTCATACCTCTTCATAAATACACAGTGGTCGGCTTCAGTCTTCTCAAACTTATGATCAGTCACAAATGATTCAAATTTCTTGTACCACTGTCGAGGTGCTTGCTTCAAGCCATAGAGGCTCTTCTTCAACCGACATACCAAGTCTTCTTGGTCTGGAGCTTGGAATCCTTCAGGTTGCTCCATATATATTTCTTCTTCTAAGTCACCGTGAAGAAATGCCGTCTTCACGTCCATTTGTTCTACCTCGAGGTCTATTGAAGCCGCCATGGCTAACGCGGTTCGGACCGAGGTCATTTTCACCACAGGAGAAAAAATCTCCTCAAAATCAACTCCTTTCTTCTGATTGCAGCCTTTCACTACAATCCGGGCTTTATATCTCGGCTTTTGCCCGTTCTCTTCATTCTTAATCTTGTAAACCCATTTATTTTTCAAAACTCTTCTTCCTTTTGGCAACTCGGTCAGCTCATAAGTCTGATTCTCGTGCAGAGACTTCATCTCGTCCTGCATTGCCTTTTTCCATTCTTCTTTCTCTGAGCTCGTCACAGCCTCATCATAACTCTGAGGTTCACCGTCTTCAGCAACAACGGTGTATTCATTAGATGGGTACCTTGTAGAGGGTCTTCTTTCTCGAGTTGGATATCTCGGCTGTTCTTCAGATTGAGAACCCGGTTCATCAATTTCATCCCGGATCTCATCTTCAACTCGGACCTCAGTGTCTTGGTCATCTTCAGCTTGTTGCTGGTCATCAATTTCTTCATTCTCTTGATTTTCTCCCCCTGCTTCAGCTTGGACAGGAGGGATGGGTTCTTCACGTCTCACAGTCACCCGAGCTTTGGGCTTCGAGATGTCATGAATGTTCTCATGCTCATGAAAGATCACATCTCGGCTTCTCAAGATCTTCTTATTGATTGGATCCCAAAGTCGGAACCCGAACTCACATCTCGGCGAACCAAGATAAATGCATTCTTTAGTCTTTGCATCAAGTTTGGCCCTTTCATCTTTAGGGATATGCACGAAAGCTCGGCATCCAAACACTTTCAGTTGATTGTAGGCCGCTTTCCGACCTGTCCAGACTTCTTCTGGAATTTCTCCTTCAAGTGGCCGTGATGGTGAGAGGTTGATCAAGTCAACAGCAGTTTTGACGGCTTCTCCCCAGAATGATTTCGGCAATCCGGCATTGGATAACATGCTTCGGACCTTTTCTTCAATAGTTCTGTTCATCCGCTCAGCCAGTCCATTCAGCTGAGGTGTCTTGGGGGGCGTCTTCTCAAGTCGAATCCCGGCCGCTCTGCAATATGCATCAAAAGGGCCGCAATACTCACCACCATTATCAGATCGGACCACCTTCAATTTCTTTCCAGTCTCCCTTTCAACCAAAGCATGGAATTCTTTAAAGGATTGGAATACCTGGTCTTTAGACTGCAACAAATATACCCACACTTTGCAGGAGTGGTCATCAATAAATGAAACAAAGTACTGAGCTCCTCCAAGGGATCTTTTCGACATGGAGCAGACATCAGTATGGACGAGGTCAAGAATATACCTGCGTCGTCTAGGTTGATCCGGTCTCACAAAAGAAACCCGGTGCTGCTTTCCAGCTAGGCAGTGCGTGCAACTCTCCAACGCTTGGCCTTTCAACCCGGTCAATAATCCTTTCTTGTTCAGGATCTGTAGCCCTTTCTCGCTCATGTGGCCGAGACGCTTGTGCCATAGCTCCAAGCTAGATTCATCTCGAACAGAATTGGCTTCTCCGCCATTGATCTTTCCTTGCATCACGTACAAGGAGCCTTCTTTCTTACCTCGGGCCACGACCAAGTTTCCCTTGGCCAGCTTCCATCTAACACTACCAAAGTAGTTCACTAACCCAACATCATCAAGTTTGCCTACCGAGATTAGGTTCAAACGCATGTCGGGTACATGCCTTACATCTTTCAACACAAGTCGACATCCGACATCTGTGGTCAGAGTTACATCACCGACACCAACAATCTTGCTGGTCACTTGATTTCCCATCTTCACGACTCCAAAATCACCACCTCGATAAGAGGAGAAAAAACCTTTGTGTGGAGTAACGTGGAAGGAGGCACCAGAGTCAACAATCCAGGTGCAGTCATCATATGCAACATTCAAATAATTATCCTCACCAAGGAGGAATATATCGGCATCAGGGTTTGCAGCCACCGCAGTGGTGCTCTTGTCTTCCCTCTTCTTGGGAACAATCTGATCCGGCTTCACAGAGCCGTTCTTCTCATCATTCTGTAGGGTCCAGCAGTCTGGCTTCTTATGGCCTGTCTTTCCACAGTAAAAGCACTTCAACTCATATTTCGGCTTTGACCGACCTCTGGACTTGTCTCGTCTGTCACGACCTCTACCTCGGCTTTTGCTTCTACCGCGGGAGTCGGATTTTCCTTTGTTCTCAGCAACGTTGGCCTCAGACGTACTCGAAGTACCTCGTTCTCTTCTCCTGGATTCTTCGCCCAGAAGGCTGTCTGTCACGACATCCATCTTCAATTTTCCATCTGGAGTCGAGTTATTCAGGGTCACCACCAGAGTATCCCAGCTTTCTGGCAGCGAGCTCAACAGCAGCAATGCCTGCAGTTCTTCATCAATTTTCATATCAGCCTTTGACAGCTGATTCACAATACCTTTGTATGTGTTCAGGTGTTCAATCATGCTCATACCGTCCTTGTATTCAAGCTTAACAAGTCGGCGAACCAGGTGTGCTTTGTTCCTGGGAGTCTTCTTCTGAATCATGGACTCTAATTTCGTCCACAACTCATACGCGTTCGTGAATTCGGACACGTGCTCAAAGAGGCTTTTATCAATATATTTCCTGATCATGGCTACCGCCTTCCGACTCAGGATCTCCCACTCCTTATCTGTTTTGCCTGCCGGTCTCTCATCAAGGATAATGGGCTCATGCAGATCTTTGCAGTTGAGATGATCTTCCATCATCGGTCTCCAATATGTGAAGTTGTCTGCGGTCAACTTAAACATATCTCCATCATGAGTTATGCCACTGGTCTCCATCTCGTCTCCCTCAGAACCCGTCGAACTCG